TCATCATGTCAGTCTCTCTGTTCCTGTGCTCTGTCCGTAGCTCTCAAAGCTGCCTGCCACCTGTCCTCAGCTCTCCATAGATCAGGCTGTTACAGTCACAACGACTTCGCGAAGGGAGGGCTTGGCACTTGGAAGGAATTTTTAGGATTGCCAAACAGGCACAGAGACAAGGAAGTGTGTGTATGTGTGAGTGTTTTGTTCCAGTGTGAATTGATACTAAACTCTTAACACAGCAGTAAGAACTACTGAGCTGTAAAGTTAGGTTGGGCCTAGATTGGTGGTGGTATACACAATGCTCACGGACACCACTTGAGCAAGTCTCAGAGTGATAATGTGTGGTTAGGACACACTTATTAACTCACACAGAAAGAAACTGGACAAATTATAACCTGCTTGGACATAAACCGAGAAATGTTTGTTTACGGACTTGATAACGAGGTAGGTATCCATGTATTGTGGAATATATGTTTCTGTCTTTTCAGTTTTTACTATTTGTTTTCATTTTTCAAAGTTATATTTTATGGTTGGATGTAGATTCCAGTGTTCTAGATGATAATTCATTAACATAGAAATCACTTTACGTTACATAGTATTTGAGGTTGAATAAAGACGCAGGTCCTTCAAGTTTAACCTTTGTGTATCTGTGTGTTTGTGCGCGTGTGTTATATACGAGTCCCTGAATGAATCAATACTCTCTGCTGAAACACTGCTTGTGGAAGGGAGTTCCAAAATGTAACCACTCTAACTGAAAAGAAGCCCCTGCGCCTTTTGTGATTAAATCTTTTCTTCACCAATTTTAGGTGGTGGCCTCTAGTCTTTTTTGGGGAGTTTACAGTAAAAAGTTTATTGCTGATGTTGCCATCACCACTAAACATTTTGTACGTCAAAATCATGTCCCATTTTAATCGCCTCACTTCCAGCGTGAACAAGTTTAAGATTAGCAACCTTGTCTCATAGCTTTGGTCCTCCAGCCACTCAATTAGTTTTGTTGCCCTTCTCTGGACTTTCTCTAGCTCAAAGACATCTTTTCTGTGTATTGGTGACCAAAACTGAACCGCATAGTCCAGATGAGGCCGAACCAGCGATCTATAAAGTGGCAAAATGATTGCTTTGTCTCTAGACTACATTCCCTTTTTAATACATGACAGTACTCTGCTAGCTTTGTTTGCCGCAACCTGGCATTGCATGCTATTGTTCAATCTGTAGTCGACTACGACCCCCAAATCTTTTTCCAATTCTGACTTCCTTCCTAGTGGAGTACTCATTAATGTGTATTCCGCTTGCCTATTTCTAATCCCAAAATGCATTACTTTACATTTTTTAACATTAAACCTCATCTGCCATGTAGTTGCCCACTCTGCTATTTTATCCAGGTCCTCCTGTAATGTTATAATGTTTAAGCTCGTGTCTATCACCCTCCCGATTTTAGTGTCATCTACAAATACAGAAACATGGCAATTAACACCCTCCCCAATATCATTAATAAACAGGTTAAACAGTATTGGACCTAGCACAGAACCCTGGGGCATGCCACTCTTGACCTTAGACCAATTCGAAAAAGAGCCATTTACCGATACTCTCTGGACACTAGCCAGTTCTCTATCCATGTATACACCATTTCATCTATAGTCATAGATTTCAGCTTGTGTATTAAGCATTTATGTGGTACTGTGTCAAATGCTTTGGCAAAATCCAGGTACACCTCATCCACAGGCCTTCCTCCATCCAGATTTCTACTAACTTTGTAGAATGTTAGTAGGTTGGTTTTACAAGAATGGTCTTTCATAAATCCATGCTTATTACCACTTATTATACCATTGCCATGAACAAAATCCACTAAATAGTCCTTTATCATTCCCTCAAACAGTTTGCATACTGTTGATGCTAGACTGACTGGTCTGTAGTTCCCAGGTTGGTATCTTGAACCTTTTTTACAATACTGGTACTACCATAGCTATATGCCAGTCACTTGGTACCCTTCCAGTCAGTATGGAGTCCTTGAAAATTAGGAATAATGGTCTCGCTATAACCTGGCTGAGCTCTTTAACCACTTCCTGGCCGGCCATTGTAAAAAAAACGGCTGGCCGTGAGCTCTCTAGATCTGAGCGGGCATCTTTAGACGTCCGCATAGCCACGCCCGTCGCGCGTGCCGCGTGGGAGAGGGAAGGTCCTAAAATTTAAAAACTGGCAGCGATGCCTGTTAACATACAAGCGATCCGTCGCTATAGAGCCGGCGGATCAGCTTCTTCAGGGGGGTCCTAGGTGACATTAGGGGTCTTTATGTCTCTGCCTTTACATAAAGAGGACCTGTCACATCTTTTGTTATCACATAGAGGGGTTTCTTAGCCCCCTATGTGATAGCAATAAAGTTAAGTGGAAAAAAAATAGGTTTCCCCAAAAAAATAATAATTAAAGTTACACATAAAAAAGAATAAAAAAATACAATTATTTTTTTTCAAGTCCCACCCATACATACATGCATGCAAACATGTGTCGCGTGCGCATACGTGCTAAAACGACGATTGCGCCCATTACGCCGCACATGTTACATATCACCGCGAAAGTTGCAGTGAGAGCAATCATTTTAGGGCTATCAATCACTGATAACACTAAACTGATGAGCGGTAAAAGCTTTTAAAGCGTCGCCTATGTTCAATTTTGGGTGTGGTAGTTTTTTGCAATTTCGCGGGTGTGCGCAATTTTAAAGCTTGACATGTTTGGAGTCTATTTACCCGACGTGACCCCGTCTTTTATATTTTACCAAAAATATGGGTAATAATCATTGTTTCCTGACATTTTTTTCAAAATTTTCAATAGTTTTTCCTTCATACAGCAAAAAATAAAAACCCCAGTGGTGATTAAATACCACCAAAAGAAAGCTCTATCTGTCCCCCAAAAAATGGTATAAAATTAATTTCAGTACAGCGTTGCATGATGGAATAAATGTCAGTCAAAGTACTGTAGCGCTGAATACTGAAAAATAGCCTGGCCAAGAAGGGGGTCTAAACACCTGGTCTTGAAGTGGTTAAGTACCCTTGGGGTGCAGGTTGTCTGGTCATAAGAATTTATTTGCATTAAGTTTTTCTAGTCTTTGTTGAACACCGACTACCGTCAACCACGGCGGTATCTTATGCACTAAGCTACTCACATTCTTATCTCCATTAAACCTGTCTTTTTCTTGAGTGTATACCGAGGAGAAAAAAATTAATTTATTACCTCAGTGTTTTCCCTGTCGTTTATGATTAATCTACCATTCTATTCTTTTATTGTGCCTACTGCCCTTTTCTTACCTTTTTACTGTTTATATAGAATACTTTTTTGGGAGTTTGTGATTGAACATGTAGGCAAAGACCAGACCTTCTAGTACAATGTGCTGTGAAATAAATCAAAGATGTGGCCACAGTAACAGTTGACATGTTTTGTGCACTTTATACCAGCTGTGAAGCATTGTGGTAGAAATGTTATGGTTTGGAGTTGTTTTGCTGTTTCAGGGCCTGGGAGGCTTGCAGTCCTCAATTCAACTATGAATTCTGCATCATATTAAAGTGTGCTTCATTAGAATCTGAGGCCATTTGTCCAAAAGCTAAGGTTGAACAAGTGGATCTTTAAACACAGTAATGATACAAAGGACTGGTTTAAAAAGAAGAAAGGGAGGGTTATGGACTAGCCTACTTAAAGCCCTGATTTAAAATCCATTGAAATATTGTGTCCATTTAAAAGGGGCATTTGCTTAAAGAAACTTATCTTTCAACTGAAAGAATTTTGTACAGAGAAGTGGTCAAACATTTCCGAGACCGATGTACTGATGAAGGAATTTTAGCTAGGGGTACACCGATACCGCTTTTTGGTATCAAGTACGAGTACCGATATTTTGCGTTCGGTACTCGCCGATACCGGTGCTTCCGTTGGCATCAAGTAGGGTTCCCGGGCAATCAGGCAGGCGTAGGTAATGACTCACCACCCGGCAGCCTGATTGCCCAGGAAGTGGGCTCCATGTTTGGCTGGCTCGATTGTAATTGGTCGGGAAACTGGCTTCCCAGCCAATCAGCATCGAGCCAGCTTCCCGGGCCATTCAGGAAGCCGGGCAGCGAGCAATGACGCCCAAATACTCGGTATCTGCACCAATACCAATACAAGTATCTGTGCATCCCTAATTTTAGCTATTGCTTTTTCCACAGTACAGCATTACATCGATTGATATTATTTGCAGAGAATAAAGTGGTCACAATAAATTCCCCTCCTAAAAAGCAGCTCTGCACTGATATAAAAATAACTACGTCTTAGGTGTGTGTGTTGTAAGGTTAGAAATCTTGCAACTACAATGATAAATCTGAAATGGATCTTCGCAAAACTCAGATGTCCAGGACTACGGGTGCAGGGTTTGCAAATACAAACAAAAACCTCTTGCAAGTCTTTAGTTAAATTAATGGTAGCTGGATTTGTCCTAGATAAGTGCCTGATTGTATCCATATACAGTAATGTTTAATAAATACTCTTCTGAGATTCTGAATACAGATTTGCTCTCTGTAGGTTCTCCCCTAAATAAAAAAGGAACAATTACTTTTTTCTTATAGAGTTTAAATAATATATAGCACATTCTAAGAAAATGGACAGTTCTCATATTTATTTTTGTATTATTACAAAAGACATAAGCAAAGTTATATGTTCAATCTGAAGTTGCCAATAATCAGCAGTAATAAAAAGCAGTTGCTTTGGTGCCTTGTGTTTAAATTTGTGACAGTGCCAGAAGGTTGGACGTTCTCATTGATGCTATATTTACCATTACATTATGAAATTAAACACATGCATAGAAAGTGCATGTCTCGTTTTGTGGGATGATATATATTCCATATCTGGCCTCATCTTGTCATTCATTTATATTGTAACATTTTAAGACATGAATGAACCCAAGTTCCTAGAATAGCTGTTTCAAGGATTTTGGTTATTAATCCTGCTGTGCATGCCATATGCCTCACTATATTTATGTGCTGTCTCTTCAGGGTTCCGCAGAGTCATACACCAGTCGCCCATCAGATTCAGATGTGTCCCTTGAAGAAGATAGAGAAGCCCTGAGAAAGGAAGCAGAACGACATGCCCTTGCACAACTGGAGAAGGCTAAGGTAAACTAGCATTTGTGTGTTTAATAATTAGGGATGAACCGATACCGTTTTTTTTGGTATCAAGTACCGATATTTTTTCCCAGTACTCGCCGATGCCCAGTACCGATACCGGAAGTCCTATTAAGGAAGCTAGGTGGCGTGTAATGACTCGCCACCTGGCTTCCTGATTAGCTGGGAAGCCAGGCGGCGTGAAAAGACTCACCACCTGGCTTCCCGAAGAGCAGGGAAACCGTCTCCATGCTCCCTCGTCACCAGGTGACGAGGAAGTATGGAGCCTGCTTTCTGGCCAATCAGGAAGCCGGGCGCCTACACTTGGTCGAGAAGCTAGCCAATCAGGAAGCCGGGCAACGAGTCAGCGCCCGGATTTTTATTTGGCAGGAAGGCCGACTCCATGTTCCCTTGTCACCAGGTGGCCTTTCTGGCCAATCAGAAAGCAGGTAATGACTTGCCGTCCGGCTTCTTGATTTGCCAGCCTCTGACCAGTCCGGAAGCTAGACGGCGAGTCATTACATGCTGCCTGGCTTCCTGTTCGGCCAGGAAGCCGGCTCCATGTTTCCTCGTCACCAAGTGACAAAGAAGCATGGAGCCGGCTTCCCGGCCAATCAGGAAGCCGGGCAGCATGTGATGACAGCTACCCTGCTTCCTGATACAGGAAGCTAAGGTATCAGAGCATTTGGGCGAGTACGAATACTCACCCAAAAATTCGGCATCGGCACCAAAACCGATACTAGTATCGGTGCATCGGTATTAATAATCGTTTGTCTCTCTTGTGTTACTTTGTAGCGCTCTGTATTCTAAGAGTTTTAGGAATATGGTACAGAGGTAAAAGGCCTCCAACTTTGGGATTTCCCTGTAACTGTGATATTTCATTGCCTGACCACAATGAGGCTTCTGTTTATAGGTTTGTCCTCCAATGCAGGCCATACAGCCAACAAATTAATAATTCATTATAACAATTAATTTAATTTAATAATTATATCTTTCAGAACCCAAACTGGGAATTTTAGGTAATTATTGTATTAATCAAAAATGAAGAGCTGTTTTTTTAATAATAGAATATGACAAAAACAGCCTTTTTCTTTTGTTTCTTTTATTTTTCATTTGTTTCCAGTAAAAGATCATCTGAAAAAGTTAAATCTGTAACTGATCAATCATTTATCCTTATATTTAAGGTAAGTTTAACAGGGTAGAGAGTTAAGGTGACACTAAACTCAGGCGTTAATCTTAAAATGCATTCAAATACCTTAACTATTAACAAAAATGTAGCTTATTTGTGTATCACTCGGTTGTAGATCCTCAAATCATCTCTGCATTGGTGCTGATATTGTCTCCTGTTCTGGAGGGTGGCTACTTTTATTCCCCATGGTCCCTGTGTGTAACGCTCAGGTGCGGCTTTAAGGGCTGGCGTGGATCACAGCTTCGGTTTAATAAGGAAAGATTGGTATTCTTTTACACAGTCCTTGGCAAACACAACCTGGTATAATTATATGCAGACAAGATTCTATTTACATTGCTTAGTACTTTATTGAGTGAAGGTAGACAGGGTTGAAGTTGGAGCAAATGGGTTTAGGCAGTTAGCAGAGTCACAGTTCTTATATGCAAACAGCTGAAGGTATTTAACTTGATACTTGCAGTTTTAGTCAGTCCGAGGTGCTCTGCTGCCACCCAGTGGTGTTAGAAGAGAATTGCAGGTCTCCAATGATAAGGGGTTCTATGAGAGGTGATATTTCAGGAGAGAGGCTGGAAGTGTGCAGGCCTATTGGAGAGGCTGGTCTCACCAGAGAAGAGGGGCACTGTCTGGCCCAATAGAGGTGTAAGCGGAGGGGCACTCGTCCGGCCCAATATAGGAGAGAACAGAGGGGCTCTGTCCGGCCCAATAAGGATAGTGGGGAGGTTCAGCCGTGGAGGTATTTGCCTGGCGTCAGGCTCCTAGCACGAACGTCAGGCAAATGGCCCCGGCTGTTTAAGTAGGGAAAAGAGGAGGAGGCGGGTGATGTCGCCGTGACGTCATCCGAACTCCGACGGAGCTGATCGAGGTGTCGGAGCCCGGTGGAGAGGTAGGGACGTTACACTGTGTGTGTGTTGTAAAGTAGCCACTGCTCCAAGCTTGCTCCCATAATGGACTACAATCTCATATTTAGTTCATATAATAGAATTATTTCCCAAAAACGTTGTCTCATCTCACCCTGATTAGATTAGATACACAAAACAGAATTGGATGAGAGAACAGACCACAATACAGTTGAACCAGTTTAAAAGAATTTACAAAACTTTTATTAACATAGAAAACATTAAAATATCCATGGCTACTCATAAAAGCAAGTCACCATTGTTGGCAGAGGATTAACAGAGTCTTGAGGAGCAAGACTAATTAATTGCATCTATTTGCACAAAACCCATATGGCATTAACCACTAGATGTTAATGTTCAATAATGCCACCGCGTTTCACATCATCGCTACATCAGGAAGGTGAGAAGTAATTTTTAGGTATTGTATTACAGTTCAAGTGTTTAGTAAGAACCCAGTGGGAAATACTGCCACCCCAAAAAGAACCCTCAGGCACTGGGAAAGGAAAGATAACTGGAGAAATGCACCTCCAATATCTTAACAGGACAGGAAACTGGAGTTCCCAGACAGCCAGCTAATGCCCCCATATAACTTGGTTGAATAACACTGACATGGATGTGTTTTCTTATCTGCAGCGCACGTGGGATTCTTTTGGCGGGAATCCCATGTGCTCTGTAGATTAGGAAACTAAACAGCAGTGTATAATTGTGCATTACAACTATATGGTCATATAATTGACTGAAGTGACCCATTTAAAATATTAACAAATGTGCTACAGTTAATTTGGGAGATTAAAACATATAGAGTGTCATACATTTGAAAGCTTTTCACTTACTGTTTGTGATTCTCAGATCATTTCAGAGAAATTTCCTTCTAAGCCACAACAAATATTCCTCCTTTCTTTTTTTTTCCACTAGAAGAAACAAAGCAGTAATAGCTATGGTGCAGGAAGAAGCTGCAGGAGCAAAATGGCAGCTCCTTCTATAGCATTTTATGGTTATCCACTGGTACAGTGGGAATATGATAATGTTTAATTGCTGCTTTCATAGGCTACTCAGTAGTGTTTTTCACTTGGTTCACAAGCAGTCTTTTCCACCCTCTAAGGTGAGAATACAGACCTGGGAAAAGATAGTTGACCACATGCCTTTTACAGTGATAGATGTTTGATTGCCGCTGATATATATTAAAGAGCACATTCTGTGGTCTACCACTATCAAGAGAACAAATAATAAATGAGACAGAACTGCAGCTCAGTTCAGCAAACGCAGTGACGCAAATCCATCCATGACTGGAAATCTGCACCAGGGTTCTGTAATCATCAGAGAGACCCCTCCAGCTCATAATTTAAGAATGTATCTGTGTACACCTAACCATTAGATAGTAGTCCATTTGTTGTCAGTTTTCTTTTGACTAGAGTTCTCTCTAAAAAAGTACCTGCAATTTATGCTTCTCTACAGACCAAGCCTGTGGCTTTTGCTGTCCGGACGAATGTGGGATACATCCCGGCTGCTGGAGATGATGCGCCAGTACAGGGAATGTCCATCAACTTTGAGCCCAAAGACTTCCTTCACATCAAGGAGGTAATATACAGTCATGAACGAGCGGCAGGCTGATAATATTGTAGTAATCTGATTATAACAGATTTGTATATGTGCTATAAATTCAGATATATTGCATCTTTAGATGTAGATGTACTGTAACTCTTTTTTTGTTTTGGATAGAGTAAGAAATGGTTAAAACCCTTGTCTGTATCTTATTGGGGAAATTTGCCTTAACTTTTTGACATGAGAGGAAGTAAGAAAACTTTTTCACAAATTAAGGGCATATCTCCTTATAGACAATTGTCAAGTGTGACAAGGGTGTCAAGTCCTTATTGGAAGATCCAATAAGTCAGCATGGCTCTATGAAATTGTGTTGCAAATATTTGCCTGCTCTTTTTCATTAAATCCAAGCAAATATGTATAGGGAAAAAAATAGCTAAAATTAAAAAAGGCACCAAGAATGTAGTTACCTCTCCCAGTGAAAGATTCACATAACTATGGTCACTATAAGGCATGCACGGACTTTCTTTTATAAACTGGAAGGAATTTGTATATGTGGCCCAGTATGAATGCTTTCTAAAATACATACGCAAAAGAACTTACCAATTGCAAGAGTTTTTGAGCGTGTAAGTGGCTAGCGACAAAAAAGACATACCTATTTTACAACATGTAAATTAAAAATATTTAGGTAATCAAATTGCTAAGAAATGTTGTGATTTCAAACAGTGTATGCTGGGAACAAGAAAAGGTGTGCTACACAAACTTCCCTTAAAGGTGAAGGTCAGGTGAAATTACGATGAGGTACAATGAGCCTGAAAAGTCTTAATGAGGAGTTTAAGGATTAATGTTCCTACTGTATACATAAGAGTAATAGGAGCATATTATGCGAGGAACAAAAATATATGCAGTGGGGCTGATATTTTATCTAATTATTGTCCAGGAACAAAAATATATGCAGTGGGGCTGATATTTTATCTAATTATTGTACAAGAAAAAGACTCCTGCAAGACAATTAGGATAACAAGACAATAATCAATGTCATAATATATGTAATGTAGAAATATATATGGTGTACTTCAAATGCAGATATATGGGAAACTATCTTATAGATTTACTGTATGTGTAGAATGCTAAGGAATATTTGTCCACTATATTTGACACTATACAAATGTGTATAATATATGAAATACACATACATGTGGAATAACGATTAAAAGCTTAACTAAGAAACCTTCCCTTAGCCACACCCTTAGGTCGAATTAACATCATGCTAGAATAGCCTTATAACTGTATCTAGGTACTTGAGGTGATGTTACTAAGGCAAAGTAACATCTGCTGCACCATGACATCAATTTTATCAGCGCAATGCATCATGAATGTCATACCAGAAGTGACACAATGAAACAGCATTACCTCATACACGTGGAGAGTAGTGTGGGCAAATGGAATCCCTCTCTCCACAAATTATTGCAACCAATACATCCCACTGAAGACCACAAAAAGCAAAAAAGCAAAGGGAGATAATACTCCCTATGTAATTCATCCCCACACAGCTACCTCCTCATGTATCATTTCCCCCTCCTCCTTCAGATTGTAAGCCCTCAGGGGCAGGGCCCTCCTTACCAACTTGTCTTGAATTGTAATGCCTTCCTTATATTGTAAAGCGCTGCACAAACTGTTGGCGCTATATACATACTATGTAATAATAATAATAATGTAAGGAATTTATACCATTGATAAAGTAAGGTGAAGGTCTCCCTTCTCCTCTCCACCTAGATAGGCAATTTACAATATATTGGCTAACCCAAAGAGAAATAAATTGTGTAGGAGTGGTTAGGAAATTAGGAAGAGTATAAAGTTTGGTAGCCATCTCTGTGACTATATCACAATGGTGTGCACTTTGCATTTATATTTGGTGCCGGGTTTTTGTTTTGTTTTGGGTATGTGGTTTGTTTTGCACTAAATTCCATAGATTTTCTTTATCATACATCATCTTCAGGTGATTGGACACTGGCAAACAGTGCTGTAAGGGCAGCCCTATATAACCCCTGCCACTGCCAGCAAGCCTCAATTATTTTTTTTTGTGTTCTTAGGAGATGGACATCTCTCTGCTCTGAGACAAGAAAAAAAAATGTTCTTCTTCCTTTTCGACTGATTTTACGAAGACTCTCCTAGCAAGATTCTAGCTGCTACATAGCCACTGTGGCTCCTATTTTTTACAGCTTTCCGGATTGGTTGACTCCTCTTTGAGCTTTGGGGGACCATACTCAGACCCGGCCTGGAGGAAGATGGGGGCCAGCCTCTAATGTTTGCACTGGGCACTGGAGCTCGCATTAGGGGCTCACCTAGGCACATAGCGCATTACATTAAGTTAGCTGTCCAAGTTTAGGGCCGTGACATTAATTCCTGGTGTTACACTATCCCTGAAAAGCCAACAGGGGGTGAGCCCACCAGGAGAGCAAAGATCTTGTGCTTTACAATGCTCCCTTGTCTGAAGGGGGACTATAAGTTCAGGGTAAGCTAGGGCTTCAGTCCTTTTTAAGAGTCTAGTGTGCTGTGGCACTCTGGTCCCATAGGAGTTAACACTGGCTGCGACTCATTCAGCCGCAGCCTGTGGCTTCAGTCAGCCTGGCACATTTTACATTTTAATTTGGTGCCTTTTCTACTTAACTTAGCCTGCCCAGGCTGTGGCCTGGGGCCACTCGGATGCCTTCGCAGTCACCTTACACGCCTGCACACCCACCATGAATGCTGACAGGCTGCTCCTCTGTCCCCTGCCTGCCAGGAAAGATCACAGAGCAGCGCTACTTGGATGTACTGAGCCCCTCTGCCTACAGTGACTGGTCACAAGAGGCACACCCTTCCCGCTCTAAAAAGCTGGTCGGTGAGTATCCCTAAGGGGTTGTTACTTCACCACCCATAGTGGATCATAGGCTTAAGGGAAATGGGCGGGGCCAAGCCAGCTCACATTCAGCAAACAGCTCGGGGGGGGGGTTGTGTCTGTCACATCTAGGGTTGCCACCTTTTCTTCAAGCGAAATCCGAACACTCCAGCAACGCGCAGACATTTTTGTGGGAGAATGAGTCGTGGCTTGTTCAAATGTAAATATCACAGTAGAGACTATTTTCAGTGGGGGGCCAGTAGCCCCTATTCTAATTTTGGTTGCCCCTGTCTGCCTGACATCTTGTGTCCTGGGTTTCTGCTGCCATGAAACCTGGACACAGCATTCAAAACCCGAACTGTCCGGGTGAATCCTGGACAGGTGGCAACCCAAGTCACATCTGATTCAATTAATACAGACTGCTGTCCCCAATCTGAGTTGCTACCCTCCTCAGAGGCCTCTCTAGCCCCACGAGCTGCGTCAATAAGAATACAGATGGTATCCTTCAGTTTTGCCTGATCGAGTTGCCTGAATCTGACATCATGCTGTGGGGCTAGAGAGGCCTCTGAGGAAGGTAGCAACTCAGACTGGTCGGTGAGTATCCGTAAGGGGTTGTTACTTCAACTTCCACAGTGGTTCATAGGCTCAAGGGAAATGGGCGGGGCCAAGCCAGCTCACATTCAGCAAACAGCTCGGGGGGGGGATTGTGTCTGTCACATCTAGGGTTGCCACCTTTTCTTCAAGCGAAATCCGAACACTCCAGCAACGCGCAGACATTTTTGTGGGAGAATGAGTCGTGGCTTGTTCAAATGTAAATATCACAGTAGAGACTATTTTCAGTGGGGGGCCAGTAGCCCCTATTCTAATTTTGGTTGCCCCTGTCTGCCTGACATCTTGTGTCCTGGGTTTCTGCTGCCATGAAACCTGGACACAGCATTCAAAACCCGAACTGTCCGGGTGAATCCTGGACAGGTGGCAACCCAAGTCACATCTGATTCAATTAATACAGACTGCTGTCCCCAATCTGAGTTGCTACCCTCCTCAGAGGCCTCTCTAGCCCCACAGCATGATCCCTTGTCAGATTCAGGCAACTCGATGAGGCCCACTCTGCATATATTCCTCCGCAACTGAAGGGTACCATCTGTATTCTTATTGACGCAGCTCGTGCATGCCTTGCCTTAAAGTAACCTGCTTTTGACCATCCAAAAGGTCACTAGCCTAACTTCCCTGAAAATGCCCTAGTCTGCAAACAGCTTTTTGGCACACTTGCTCTTACAGTCTGTGTTCTTGAAGAAATGGGCAGGCCCGGTTGTAGACCCAGCCATTTCCTATAATTAATATAGCCTGTGTTCATAGGTAAGGGCCCTCCTTATGGCCTTGTTGTTCTTAGTTGGCCCTGCTCTTCAACCTGCTGTTGTGGCCATGTCGGTCTGCCAGACCCTGGCATTCTAGTCCAAAGACATGGCTTGGATCCATTCTTCAAATCTTAAACTCTTTCCTAGGGTCCTATGTTACGGTGTTGATGAATTCGGGAATACACTTCGCCAAATATCCAGGATGAATCTCCTTTCGGTTGGTGTTGAATTCCTCTGCGTGATCTAGTTTCTATTTTCTTTCCCTTGTGTATATATAGCTGTTATTAAAGAGTAACTCCAGTCTAAACAAAACCGTTCCTAGTATCCAATGACGGCTGTCTAGGTCCCTGACTATAACCTAATGACATATTTGTCCACGTTTCTGAAGCTAGTAAAGATGCTAATATACACGATAGAAGATTTCCTCAACCATGCGGAGAGAATCATCTCTGTTCTAGTTTGTGTGTAGTCCATAAGTTTGTCCAGGTTCTGACAAAGATGCACATACAAGGATCAGAACTGTGTTCTAGACTTGGCACTGGAACAAATCAGATGTACCCAGTACCACTTTTTGTAATAAGTTATGGATAAGAGTGGTAGCTAGAGTAACTATCTACAGGTACAGGAGAGCTTATATTTATATAGGTATATTTAAGCCCCGGAGATTGTTGATCCAGGGAATATCCGATTGCCTTATGGCAGGGGTGGCCAAACTGCGGCCCTCCAGCTGTGGTGGAACTACGAATCCCATGAGGCTTTGCAAGATTCTCACAGACATGACTCCGGGAGAGAGATGCTTAATG